TTGCTATATTTCCCCTTTTTATCATCTGTTCAACTTTAAAGTCTATGTTGGTGGTGATATTTGCCAATGGTATTCCTTCAATCAAGTGATTTTATATTCCTGAAACATGCGAAAGCAATATTTTAAGTCTCCAGTCTACCAGACGTGCGTGCGAGGTTCAGTTTTTATGCATGTAATCAACTTTCGAACAAACAGTCTTTTTTATCTTTCCTGCCTATTGCTTCCGGTGCACTTTGTGGTAGAAACACGCTATCCTTCGCATACACGCTGTTGACAGCTTTCTGAACCTTTCCGCCAATAACAACTTGAAAAATGATTCAACTTTTTTGCTCAGATAATCCGTCAATTTCTTATGAAAAAAGACAGGCTTGAAACGGAAGGGCTTTAAATTCCCTGAACAAAAGAGCAAACGACTTTGGTTCATTTGTGAAAGATGTAAATTCCTATAACAATTTCTTCCAATTTACCGTTCAAATCATAAGTTCTTGCTTAAGACAAACGTCAATATCTTTTATGCGACTTCTTAGTATACAATGGTATGTATGATATGTTAGCTAACATTCTGGACTAAACTGTTTGTGATAATGTTCAGCACTTTACCTTTTGAATGTTTACGTCCAGCAGCCGAATCGACGATGGAAGTACTAAATATCAGCATGACTGATGCCAGTAGTGGTAAATTCATCTTGAATGTTTTGTGATAGATTTTCAAACGACTGCTTGAGAGATAGTAAACCTCGTTTTAGTATGGACCTTGGCATACGACAGACGAATATGGTTATAAATTATAACGTATGGTCAAGTTAGATTTACATAATGCCACTTATTACCCGTGTCTCAAGTAGTTTACACTCGGTAAATTGTAAAACATGGAATCTGGAATTTGGAATCTTGTAATCTTGGAACCTTGGAATTCTGGAATCTTGAAATGTTGGAATCTTGGAATCTTTTGATTTTTTGTAATATAACTTGATCGTTCATAAGTTTATATACGCCGAGTTATTGATGGACTAGCACCAGTATTATAACTACCCTAACATTATAATTTTAGTAATGTAATATAATTTCATCGTTTAAATTGTCTGGGCTGATTGCCTGATTATGTATTTCATAAGCATATGGAAATAATATAATTTTGGTAAATTTCTTGTTGTTGAGCATGGGAATATCGTAACATGTTTTGTAAATGTACATCGTCCAGGTTAGTGTAGTCCTTAAAAGGGCTGTTGACTGAAGTTACAATACTCCCAGTCATCTTTCAAAAACAGGTCGCTCGATCACTTGTAACTAAATTTGATCAATTAGAACAAAAAATGATCAATTGAAAAGCTGTTTTCAGTAAATAATTACATAAATAATGTTCAACTGATCTGGTTACTAACGAGATATTCATTGGATTAGTCATTAGTTTTCAATAATAAATAATGCGGGATTTTTATCATGAAGTAAATGCGATAATAAAGTAAGAATAATTAATGAATTTTTAACTAATATGAACAGGTAATTTTTGAATTTCAAACATCAGTCGCGTGACGGATTTGACTTACTCTAGATCCGCCCCTGCTGACACGTACAAGCACTTGTTAAAGGTAGAAAGAGATTTTGAGCTCTAAATAGCAATCAATTTGTAAGAAAATGCAATTTTCCCAATTAGTTACCGGAATTGAAATTTATTGTAAATGACAAGATGCGTTCCTGAGCCCAGTCCCCTAACACGACAGAAATCTTTGCTATTTTCCATCATAAAGCTTTAATTTTCAAAAACTATTACAAAAATCAAAACATGTTTTGAAGCTTATTAAGTAACTTTTTATGCTTTTTCAAAACCATCAAAATACAGAGGTGATATAGGCACTTTAAACTGTCTACTAAGTTTACAAGTGGCAGTTGCTACAAACGGAAACAAAATTCAACTGATCTGGTTACCAACGAGATATTCATTAGATTAGTCATTACTTTTCAATCAATAAATAAAGCTGGATTTTTATCACGAAGTAAATGCGATAATAAAGTAATGAATGCGATAATTAATGAATTTCTAACTAATATGAATAGGTAAGTTTTGAATTTCAAACATCAGTCGCGTGACGGATTTGACATACTCTAGATCCGCCCCTGCTGACACGTACAAGCACTTGTTAGAGTGTTTATATTACGAATTTTAGCCCCCCTTTTTTATTAGCTAAATTGAAAGACCTTGTTTCAGTGATTTTAAATCTGCAATTATAATTGAATTGGTTGGTGAAAGTGATTTTACGGACGTTCAAAGTCACGATTTTCAGCATTTTTTTTTGCGAACTTTTTGATCGGTATGCTCATGACTTGTGACGTAGAAAGTTGAACACATACCTCAACATGGCGTATTCTACTAGTAATCTTAATAAGAAACGCGGAGGAAAACGCTGTGTTGCTGGCGGACCTAATCAAATTAGTTGCGCCAAGGACTCAAAAACCGAAGGAATGTCGATGCATTTGTTTCCTAAAAAAGAAACAGAGCCGCAAAGACATAGAAAATGGGTAAATTTTGTGCGTAAACATAGACCGGGTTTTGAGGCTTCCTCTTCCTCGTGTCTGTGTTCTGCGCATTTTGAAGATTCTTGTTTTGACCTTAATTTGAGCGTGCAAGTCAAGCTCAAAAGAAGGTTGAAGAAAGATGCTATCCCAACCATTGACGTGGCTGGGATTCCTGAACCATTACAGGACGAAATAACCGATCGAAAGCGAAGACAAGTAAGTTACACTTGTTTATGTTAATTTTTCCTTTGTCATATGTAAATTCGATATAAGTTTTGTTGATTATTCGACAAACTCTCCATAAGCCATCGCTGAAGGAAACATGTTCTCTCAATGAGGAAGTACCATCTACTAGTGATGGAGCTGAGCATGTTGAAGTATGCACTGGGGAAGCAAACGATTCGCCATTTGAACGGCTTGCTATTTTCCATTTTTACATTTATGCTATGATTTAATTCCATATATTTTTCTTTTGTCTTTTTCCCAGACTGACATTGAAGAAAAGATTTTCTTTCATTTAATTCTTTCAGCTTAACCTCTCAGTAGTTGCACCAATTTGTTTTATTGTTTACTCTTGTTTCAAACCATTAAACTGCATGTCAACTTATATAGTGCATTAATGTATCTCCTATTTGGTTTTCATCTAGGCATATTTCCTGACCATTCCAAACTCAGCAAAGAAGGTTCCTGAGCCCAGTCCCCTAACACGACAGAAATCTTTACTATTTTCCATCATAAAGCTTTAATTTTCAAAAACTATTACAAAATCAAAATATGTTTTGAAACTTATTAAGTAACTTTTTATGCTTTTTCAAAACCATCAAAATACAGAGGTGATATAGGCACTTTAAAACTGTCTACTAAGTTTACAAGTGGCAGTTGCTACAAACGGAAATAAAATTCAACTGATCTGGTTACTAACGAGATATTCATTGGATTAGTCATTAGTTTTCAATAAATAAATAAAGCTGGATTTTATCACGAAGTAAATGCGATAATAAAGTAAGAATAATTAATGAATTTTAACTAATATGAATAGGTAAGTTTTGAATTTCAAACATCAGTCGAGTGACGGATTTGACATACTCTAGATCCGCCCTGCTGACACGTACAAGCACTTGTTAATGGTAGAAAGAGATTTTGAGCTCTAAATAGCAATCAATTTGTAAGAAAATGCAATTTTCCCAATTAGTTACCGGAATTGAAATTTATTGTAAATGACAAGATGCGTTCCTGAGCCCAGTCCCCTAACACGACAGAAATCTTTACTATTTTCCATCATAAAGCTTTAATTTTCAAAAACTATTACAAAAATCAAAATATGTTTTGAAACTTATTAAGTAACTTTTATGCTTTTTCAAAACCATCAAAATACAGAAGTGATATAGGCACTTTAAAACTGTCTGCTAAGTTTACAAGTGGCAGTTGTCACAAACGGAAATAGATTACAATTAAAAAGCCGACAAGGAGACAAAGAAGATTGTAGATGAATGTAGGAGAAATGACTGAGGCTAAAAAAATACTTATGAAATATGAAATGAATTTGTGCAAAAAACATTAAACACAAAATTAACAATCAGTGCTTCCACACGTAGGCGAATTGCTCTAAAGTTGGGAGAATTAATTATTTGTAGGTGGAAGGGGAAACTTTTTGGGAAAAACTGTTAAATGTTGGGAGATTGTAGAAGAAACAAAATATTTTTAAAGTGATAGCTATACTCTACATGAATATTTAATACATAATTTATTGTTGGTTTAGCCAATGGGAGGAAAGAAGATGTTGATGGCTGTCTGAGTACATAAGTGAAGTGACATGTTACCAGAAGGTACACACCATCACGAGGTCTAGCACTGATCAGTTCGCGAGGAAAACGTTGGGAAAATTAACACGAAAAATTCGAAATGAACACACCGCTACTGGCATCGTTCTTGTTGATGTTTTATCCTTTGGTTGTTGATTCAGCAACATCGAAGAATGAATCTTCATCAGGTATAGGGCTGAAACATTTCCATGGAGAAGTTACAAAGTATAAAACTCCACAAAATTTTTGTTCACTTTGAGCATGAATCAGTTTTCACAGATTTTTATACGGAGATAATAAATTTAGTTATAGAAGTTGTCTTTAGGTTTGGTGTGAATCAATGACTTGTCTTTTAAGAATAATAATGAAATGAGTCATTTGTGTTTCTAAAATCAAAATGTTTGGAAAACTAACACGAACAATTTGAGATGAATACACCGCTACTGGCAACGTTCTTGCTAATATTTTATCCTTTGATTTGTGATTCAGCAACATCGAAAGAAATTAAATGTAGTTATAGAAGTTGTCATTTATGTTTCGCGTGTATCAATGACTTATCTTTTTAGAATAATCATGGACTTAATCGTTGGTGTTTTGAAAATCAAAATACTTATCGTACTCTTTGTTTTGTCTAGTGGAAAAACACTCAAAGGCATACTTGACAAAATTTACACTCGGTCTCGAGGGGAAAGGGTAAAGAAATTGTGAAATTCTATACAGAGAACTGTGTATTGATTAATCAAGGTGTTCCGGCAATAAATGGCAAAGCAGGTAACTGAGGCATTTTTCATTTTAAAAACTTGCCTGCACACTCGCAGATGTTGCAAAAGTTTTATTTTGTATTTTCACGATATCGTTTAGAGTTGTTACATCTCTACCAAACCGTTTTTAATAAAACAACAATTGTTAAAAGGTTAACGTTTTATGGACGACGTTTATGACGAGGGAGACATTGTTACTCTTAGATACCACGCGACCAACCATTTAGCAGATTGCAGTGTCTTTACGACTACCCGGTGAGAACTTTTAACAGCAAATCTAATTTTTCATTCTTATGATGAATGAACACATTTTAAAGTGAATTTTGACATAACATAAAAAATTTGGCTGTCATCTTATAACCGAGAGCAAAAGCTCACCTTTGGACCTTTTGCGTTCGTGAAAGAGATATTTTGGAGATGATTAGATCTTCAAAATGCTAAAACACACAACGGGCAGCCAAATTTAAGCATTTCATTTCTAAATCGATGATGGCAAATAAACTAAATGAATAAATTTCTTGCAGACTAATCATCGTTTGGAAAAAGATCAAGGGCAAATACTTGATTCACAATCAAGTTTCAAATGAGCGAGAGAACCTCTGTCCTAAATGATTGTTAAACTCAGCATTGGAGGAAACAAGACACTACTTTTATTTGTCTTATTAATAAATTTCTAGATAAAATGAGCTTTGAAGACCATAACCGTTGTAGACTTTCAATTTGAATTCTATTTTGAAACATCTTGATTACAAAATGTTCTTGTCTCCGTTTGAATTTTACGTAGTCATTCATCTGTTACTTAGCAAACGTAGTATCAGTGATAGCTTATTTTAAGGTGCGATCTTTTAGTCAAGTAGCAAATGGTGTTTCCCCCTCCTTAACTCCACTAGAACTAGGTTTAATTTATACTTCTGTAAATCGTGACTTGTCTTTCAGTACATTTTTCAATTTGCATGTTTGGCTAGAAAATTTTCTCGACGTCCTGCTGATAATAAGCAATTATTGGATGAGGTTGAGCATGATATCAAAATTATTCAGACCAAGGTCAATGTTATCTGCCGATGCGAAGCTGAGGCGGATAATGACCTTGGCCTGAATAATTCTTGAAATATGCTGAAAACGAATTCATTAATTGTTTTATTATTCACTGAAGTATTATCAAAACATATCAATATAAAACATTTTTCAAACCTTCGCTAAGTTGTTTTGTCAGACAATTTATTCAAATTCGTTTCGTTTAATTATGTTGTAAATATGTTCAAAGCCAGCTTCGCCGCTTTTTAGTGTTTTCCGCATCTTTTCGTCTAAAAGATTTCACAATGTTTTAGAAACTGTGGCAAACATCGCTGATGTTTGATTTGTTTTCAAAACATGCTTTTAATGGCGTCAATAATTGTAGAAACTAATATTTGTAGATATGACGTCATAATTACAGATATCGAGAATTATTTGCTGGTAGTTGACCAATCACAGCTTGCTTACATATTGAATAATAATAATTATTCACATCTCTGCGCAGACAAATTTCGTATTCATAGTTCAATACGACAGATGAATGTTACATATCAACAAAGGCTAAATTATACGGAAAGTAAAGTTTTTTATAAACAATGTTCCTGAAATTTTAGTGTAACATCGAAATTGAACATTTGTACATTGTTGAAGATGAAACATACAGACAGTTGAAATAAAATAACTTAAGCAGAAGATAATAACGACACCATTCTAATGTTTGAGAAATCTGTTGATGGTTTGTCAATGCTAAAGTTATCCAACCGCCATCAAAGCAATTATTAAAAGCAAATTTTGAATGCTGATCATTTGCTCAATTGAGATAACTTTAATACAAATAATTTTGTTTTCCTTTAAATTTTAGTATACCTTTCTTTCATCAGTTATTAACAAACACATTATCATGGTACTCAAGCCGTAAATTAGCAATCGTTACACCTTTCCTGCCTTTACTCTACTAGAAATACGCTGAAAGGATCGTATTTGTTATTATTTACTTTTATTTACGTCTATAAGGTGACAGAATTTGTAACAAACCTGAAAATGATTCAACTTTTTGTTGATAATGCCGAATTTGCTGTAAGTGAACGCCCCAGGCTTGAAACGGAAAAACTTCAAAGGAGTATCCCTTGATTAGGAGACAAAGAATCTTATAGCTAAATGTAGGGAAATGAGTTAAAGCCCAAAACATCAAACACAAAATTAACATCGAATAATAATTATTGTGGTGCTATTAATCTGTCTTCCAAGTTGTCAAGGAGCAGCACCCACAAACGGAATTTTTGTCTATGTGCAATAACACATTAATTAAAAGTACGTTTGTCCATCATGCATGCGGTCAGTGAAATATTCGTGCTGTTAAGCGCCGTTTACAATATGGAAGCAAACTGCTTTCTCACCTAGTTCATCGCCTAGATGCAAATCAGCAATCGTTAATAAAGCCATATTACTGCTACTACTATTAAAATGTACTTTACCATGAGTGATGCAGTCAATGAAATATTCTTACCGTTGAAAGCGCCGATAATAACATTAAAGCACATTGCTTTTCTGTCCGAGTGGATTGTCTTTATGCAAATTAGCAGCCGTTAATAAAGTTATGCTACTGCCAGTATTAGCTTTCTGTTCGTTCATTCCTCATGTCTGACTTTGAAATAAAGTCGAAAATTTACAGTTTACTTCTCGTCTTGTTTTGATTCATACTTTGCAATCTCAAGATTTATTGCTTCTTCGGAATTTGTTTTATATTATACTTCTATTTAAACAATATGACGAAAATAAGATGGTCGGGTTCAAAAATGCTTTTTATGGAGTTTAAGTGGACTATCTTGGCCGTTTTTATGTGTATATTAAAGAGAAGTAATACACGATTACTTTGTGGACTCTTTTGACTTAAAAATCTAATTTTACAACACAATTCAACTGCGATTTATTTGGGAGTATTTTCGTTGGTTGTGTCGTAGGTTTTAGTTTATATAATTTTGCGAGAGCACAATGGTTATAGGACATTTAAAATAGACGATAAATATCATTATAGCAAACATGTTTCGGCGTACTTTATGCCATCTTCAGTGCGAAGTGAGTCAATATAAGAAGTTTACATGATAATATGTTATAGTGATAAAGCGGAAATATCGAATAGTTATGAATAATTATTTACAGTTGAATAAGGTGTTATAAAATGTTTGTGTTAGGTTTTATCAAAGGAAAAAAAAAATTACAAAGAAAATGAATAATATCTGATAAAGTAGAAATTGTTATTTACAGGTCAAAGATAGTGTTGAGATGTCGTATTTGTTTGTCGAGGTTAAGTTTACGTTTCTTGATATAAAGGGCTTCTTTGAGTTTAAGGGCGAAAGAAATGTGAGCGTTATCTAAGATACGGAAACAGGATTGTGTGTAATTGTTGTTGCAGTGTGGTGACGAGAGTAAGTGTCTGAATATGTGTGAGTTTTTGTCCGTGGTTGTGTGTTCTTTAATCCGTGTGGAAAGGTGGCGGGTGGTCTCCCCAATGTAACTGGAATTACATCCAGCACAAGAAAATTCATAAACGACGTTGGATTTAAAATTTTTAACATTATCTTTGACCTGTAAATAGCAATTACTACTTTATCAGATATTATTCATTTTCATTGTGATTTTTTTTTCTTTGATAAAACCTATCACAAATATTTTATAACACCTTATTCAACTGTAAATAATTATTCATAACTATTCGACACTTCTGCTTTATCACTATAACATATTATCATGTAAACTTCCTATATTTACTCACTTCGCACTGAAGATGGCATAAAGTACGCCGAAACATGTCCTGATTATGAAATGAAAGATGAAACATTTGAAACGACATCAACATTACTGCAATAACTAAACAACAATAACTAAACATCAAGACTACTGGTTTCTGGTGCACATGTTTGAATTGCAATAACAAATTCTTAGTTGATACAAGAGAATATCGCTGCTGTAATGAGATTCCCAAGTGCATTCAACAAGTCCTAAAATTGCGACTTGAGTGCTTGACGTACGAGCATATGCGCAAACAATAACCTAATTTTACTGACAACATTTTGATGTCGTTACAAATGTTTCATTTTCTATTTCACATTCAGGACAAACGTACGAACCCTTGTTAAAGCTAGAAAGAGATTTTGAGCTCTAAATAGCGACCATTTTATAAGAAAATACAATTTTCCCAATTAGTTATCGGAATTGAAATTCATTGTAAATGACAAGATGCGTTCCTGAGCCCAGTCCCCTAACACGACAAAAATATTTACTATTTTCCATCTTAAAGCTTTAATTTTCAACAACTATTACAAAAATCAAAACATGTTTTGAAACTTATTAAGTAACTTTTTATGCTTTTTCAAAACCATCAAAATACAGAGGTGATATAGGCACTTTAAAACTGTCTGCTAAGTTTACAAGTGGCAGTTGCTACAAACGGAAATAAATTTCAAATAAAAAGCTGGCAAGGAGACAAAGAAGGTAGTAGATGAATGTAGGGGAAATGACTGAGGCTAAAAATATACTTATGAAAATATGAAATGAATTGTTGAAAAAACATCAAACACAAAATTAACAATCAGTGCTGCCACACGTAGGCGAATTGCTCTAAAGTTGGGAGAATTAATTATTTGTAGGGGGACGGGGAAACTTTTTGGGAAAACTGTTAAATGTTGGGAGATTGTAGAAGAAACAAAATATTTTTAAAGTGATAGCTATACTCTACATGAATATTTAATACATAATTTAATGTTGGTTTAGCCAATGGGAGGAAAGAAGATGTTGATGGGTGTGAGAGTACACAAATGAAGTGATATGTTACCAGAAGGTACACACCATCACGAGGTCTAGCACTGATCAGTTCGCGAGGAAAACGTTGGGAAAATTAACACGAACAATTCGAAATGAATACACCGCTACTGGCATCGTTCTTGTTGATGTTTTATCCTTTGGTTGTTGATTCAGCAACATCGAAGAATGAATCTTCATCAGGTATAGTGCTGAAACATTCCATCGAGAAGTTACAAAATATAAAACTGCACGAAATTTTTGTTCACTTGAAGCATGAATCAATTTTCACAGATTTTATACGAAGAAAATAAATTTAGTTATAGAAGTTGTCTTTAGGTTTAGTGTGAATCAATGACTTTTCTTTTTAGAATAATAATGACATTAATCATTTGTGTTTCTAAAATCAAAATACTTATCGCACTCTTGTTTTGTTTAGTGGAAGAAACACTTAAAAGCATACTTGACCAAAATTACGCACTCGTTCTCGCGGGAAAGGGTAAAGACGTGCTGAAATTCTACACTGATGACTGTGTATTAATTAATCAAGGTTTACCGGCAATAATTGGCAAAACTGGTAAGGGAGGCATTTTTCATTTTAAAACTTGCCTGCACACTCGCAGATGTTGCAAGAGTTTCATTTTGTATTATCACATTATCGTTTAGATTTGTTAAAGCACTTCCAAGGCGAGAATTTGTCAGCTATTAAAAGATGAACGTTTTATCGACAAAGTTTATGACAAGGGAGACATTGTGACTCTTAGATACCACTTGACGTCGCATGGAAAAGATTGCAGTGTCCTTGCAACTGTCCGGTGAGAACTTTTAACAGCAAATCTAATTTTTATTGTTATGATGAATGAACACTTTTAAAGTGAATTTTATATAACATAGAAAATTTGGCTGTCATCTTATAAGCGCGGCCACACTATCGTCGAAATGCAACGAATTTCGTGACGAGTCGCTCGTCAACGACCCGTCGTGACGAGTACTTGTGCCACATTGTAACGATTTTCCGTACAAGCATGGACGATTATCAGCGCAAAAAGAAACTTCTATTATTGAAGAGAAAAATTCTACTGCTTCTAATTTCTGCAAAACGACGTACATACAAAAGAAGGTTCTGGGTACATCCCATAAATAAAAGGCGAGAAAGAGAAGGGCTTGTATGACACGTTGTTGCAAGAGCTTCGTCAAGCTCTATTGGTCGCAACTTTCAGTTCCCGAGCGACATCCTTCCAATTATTTTCCTTTATATTGCGTGTATCTTTATAGTCAGGATGAAATTTGTCCACACAAACATCGCCTCTCTCTCACTAGCTCAATTAATATTTCTTGCAAATCCGCCATTTTGCCACAGCACAGTGAAAGTAAACATTAGTCATGTGATTTTTCTTGTCCAATCAGAGTAGATATGCAACAATTACTCGTCACTCGTTGACGATTTCGGTGTGCATGCTCAACGGCGACGAATTCGTCCATATCGTCATATTTTCTCGTTGACGAGCGACTCGTCACGAAATTCGTTGCATTTCGACGATAGTGTGGCCCGCGCTATAACCGAGAGCAAAAGCCGACCTTTTGACCATTTGCGTTCGTGAAAGAGATATTTTTGGAGATGATTAGAATCTTTAAAATGCAAAAACACACCACGGGCAGCCAAATTTAAGCATTTCGTTTCCTATTCGGTGATGGCAATTGAACTAAATGAATAAAATTTCTTGCAGAGTAATCATCGTTTGGAAAAAGATCAAGGGTAAATACTTGATTCACAATCTTGTTTCAAATGTGCGAGAGAACCTCTGTCCGCCGACGTCATGATTGTTGAACTAAACATTGGAGAAAACAAGATCCTACATTTATTTGTCATATTATGTAGCCTGATATTTTAGATAAAATGAGCGTTGGTTTGAATAATTCTTGACATCATGCGGAAAACGAATTCATTAATTGTTTTATTATTCACTGAAGTATTATCAAAACATATCTATATAAAACATTTTTCAAACCTTCGCTAAGTTGTTTTTGTCAGACAATTTATTCAAATTCGTTTCGTTTAATTATGTTGTAAATATGTTCAAAGACAGCTTCGCCGCTTTTTTAGTGTTTTCCGCACCCTTTTCGTCTAAAAGCTTTCACTTCCTTTTTAGAAACTGTGGCAAACATCGCTGTTGTTTAATTTGCTTTCAAAACATGCTTTTAATGGCGTCCATAATTTTAGAAATATTATTTGTAGATATGACGCCATAATTGCAGATATCGAGAATTATCTGCAGGTAGTTGACCAATCACAGCTTGCTTACATATTGAATAATAATGATTATTCACATCTCTACGCAGACAAATTTCGTATTCATAGTTCAATACGACAGATGAATGTTACATGTCAACAAAGGCTAATTTACCACAAAAAGTAAAGTTTTTTTATAATCACTTTTTGACTTAGGTTCGCTTTAATTTTGCTTCTTTTTACATATGAGCTATAACAAGCTTACCGGATTGTAAATAACACTTCGTTGTTCTTTCCATAAGTATGTCCTCGATATCTTAATATTGCTATATTTCCCCTTTTTATCATCTGTTCAACTTTAAAGTCTATGTTGGTGGTGATATTTGCCAATGGTATTCCTTCAATCAAGTGATTTTATATTCCTGAAACATGCGAAAGCAATATTTTTAAGTCTCCAGTCTACCAGACGTGCGTGCGAGGTTCAGTTTTTATGCATGTAATCAACTTTCGAACAAACAGTCTTTTTTATCTTTCCTGCCTATTGCTTCCGGTGCACTTTGTTGTAGAAACACGCTATCCTTCGCATACACGCTGTTGACAGCTTTCTGAACCTTTCCCGCCAATAACAACTTGAAAAATGATTCAACTTTTTTGCTCAGATAATCCGTCAATTTCTTATGAAAAAAGACAGGCTTGAAACGGAAGGGCTTTAAATTCCCTGAACAAAAGAGCAAACGACTTTGGTTCATTTGTGAAAGATGTAAATTCCTATAACAATTTCTTCCAATTTACCGTTCAAATCATAAGTTCTTGCTTAAGACAAACGTCAATATCTTTTATGCGACTTCTTAGTATACAATGGTATGTATGATATGTTAGCTAACATTCTGGACTAAACTGTTTGTGATAATGTTCAGCACTTTACCTTTTGAATGTTTACGTCCAGCAGCCGAATCGACGATGGAAGTACTAAATATCAGCATGACTGATGCCAGTAGTGGTAAATTCATCTTGAATGTTTTGTGATAGATTTTCAAACGACTGCTTGAGAGATAGTAAACCTCGTTTTAGTATGGACCTTGGCATACGACAGACGAATATGGTTATAAATTATAACGTATGGTCAAGTTAGATTTACATAATGCCACTTATTACCCATGTGTCAAGTAGTTTACACTCGGTAAATTGTAAAACATGGAATCTGGAATTTGGAATCTTGTAATCTTGGAACCTTGGAATTCTGGAATCTTGAAATGTTGGAATCTTGGAATCTTTTGATTTTTTGTAATATAACTTGATCGTTCATAAGTTTATATACGCCGAGTTATTGTTCGACTAGCACCAGTATTATAACTACCCTAACATTATAATTTTGGTAATGTAATGTAATTTCATAATTAAATTGTTTCGGCTGATTGCCTGATTATGTATTTCATAAGCATATGGAAATAATATATTTTTGGTAAATTTCTTGTTGTTGAGCATGGGAATATCGTAACATGTTTTGTAAATGTACATCGTCCAGGTTAGTGTAGTCCTTAAAAGGGCTGTTGACTGAAGTTACAATACTCCCAGTCATCTTTCGAAAACAGGTCGCTCGATCACTTGTAACTAAATTTGATCAATTAGAACAAAAAATGATCAATTGAAAAGCTGTTTTCAGTAAATAATTACCTAAATAATGTTCAACTGATCTGGTTACCAACGAGATATTCATTGGATTAGTCATTAGTTTTCAATAAATAAATAAAGCTGGATTTTTATCGCGAAGTAAATGCGATAATAAAGTAAGAATAATTAATGAATTTTTAACTAATATGAATAGATAAGTTTTGAATTTCAAACATCAGTCGCGTGACGGATTTGACTTACTCTAGATCCGCCCCTGCTGACACGTACAAGCACTTGTTAAAGGTAGAAAGAGATTTTGAGCGCTAAATAGCAATCAATTTGTAAGAAAATGCAATTTTCCCAGTTAGTTACCGGAATTGAAATTTATTGTAAATGACAAGATGCGTTCCTGAGCCCAGTCCCCTAACACGACAGAAATCTTTACTATTTTCCATCATAAAGCTTTAATTTTCAAAAACTATTACAAAAATCAAAACATGTTTTAAAGCTTATTAAGTAACTTTTTATGCTTTTTCAAAACCATCAAAATACAGAGGTGATATAGGCACTTTAAACTGTCTACTAAGTTTACAAGTGGCAGTTGCTACAAACGGAAACAAAATTCAACTGATCTGGTTACCAACGAGATATTCATTAGATTAGTCATTACTTTTCAATCAATAAATAAAGCTGGATTTTTATCACGAAGTAAATGCGATAATAAAGTAAGAATAATTAATGAATTTTTAACTAATATAAAAGGTAAGTTTTGAATTTCAAACATCAGTCGCCTGACGGATTTGACATACTCTAGATCCGCCCCTGCTGACACGTACAAGCACTTGTTAGAGTGTTTATATTACGAATTTTAGCCCCCCTTTTTTATTAGCTAAATTGAAAGACCTTGTTTCAGTGATTTTAAATCTGCAATTATAATTGAATTGGATTGGTGAAAGTGATTTTACGGACGTTCAAAGTCACGATTTTCAGCATTTTTTTTGAGAACTTTTTGATCGGTATGCTCATGACTTGTGACGTAGAAAGTTGAACACATACCTCAACATGGCGTATTCTACTAGTAATCTTAATAAGAAACGCGGAGGAAAACGCTGTGTTGCTGGCGGGGACCTAATCAAATTAGTTGCGCCAACGACTCAAAAACCGAAGGAATGTCGATGCATCTGTTTCCTAAAAAAGAAACAGAGCCGCAAAGACATAGAAAATGGGTAAATTTTGTGCGTAAACATAGACCGGGTTTTGAGGCTTCCTCTTCCTCGTGTCTGTGTTCTGCGCATTTTGAAGATTCTTGTTTTGACCTTAATTTGAGCGTGCAAGTCAAGCTCAAAAGAAGGTTGAAGAAAGATGCTATCCCAGCCATTGACGTGGCTGGGATTCCTGAACCATTACAGGACGAAATAACCGATCGAAAGCGAAGACAAGTAAGTTACACTTGTTTATGTTAATTTTTCCTTTGTCATATGTAAATTCGATATAAGTTTTGTTGATTATTCGACATACTCTCCATAAGCCATCGCTGAAGGAAACATGTTCTCTCAATGAGGAAGTACCATCTACTAATGATGAAGCTGAGCATGTTTAAGTATGCACTGGGGAAGCAAACGATTCGCCATTTGAACGGCTTGCTATTTTCCATTTTTACATTTATGCTATGATTTAATTCCATATATTTTTTCTTTTGTCTTTTTTCCCAGACTGACATTGAAGAAAAGATTTTCTTTCATTTAATTCTTTCAGCTTAACCTCTCAGTAGTTGCACCAATTTGTTTTTATTGTTTACTCTTGTTTCAAACCATTAAACTGCATGTCAACTTATATAGTGCATTAATGTATCTCCTATTTGGTTTTCATCTAGGCATATTTCCTGACCATTCCAAACTCAGCAAAGAAGGTTCCTGAGCCCAGTCCCCTAACACGACAGAAATCTTTACTATTTTCCATCATAAAGCTTTAATTTTCAAAAACTATTACAAAAATCAAAATATGTTTTGAAACTTATTAAGTAACTTTTTATGCTTTTTCAAAACCATCAAAATACAGAGGTGATATAGGCACTTTAAAACTGTCTACTAAGTTTACAAGTGGCAGTTGCTACAAACGGAAATAAAATTCAACTGATCTGGTTACTAACGAGATATTCATTAGATTAGTCATTAGTTTTCAATAAATAAATAAAGCTGGATTTTTATCACGAAGTAAATGCGATAATAAAGTAAGAATAATTAATGAATTTTTAACTAATATGAATAGGTAAGTTTTGAATTTCAAACATCAGTCGAGTGACGGATTTGACATACTCTAGATCCGCCCCTGCTGACACGTACAAGCACTTGTTAATGGTAGAAAGAGATTTTGAGCTCTAAATAGCAATCAATTTGTAAGAAAATGCAATTTTCCCAATTAGTTACCGGAATTGAAATTTATTGTAAATGACAAGATGCGTTCCTGAGCCCAGTCCCCTAACACGACAGAAATCTTTACTATTTTCCATCATAAAGCTTTAATTTTCAAAAACTATTACAAAAATCAAAATATGTTTTGAAACTTATTAAGTAACTTTTTATGCTTTTTCAAAACCATCAAAATACAGAGGTGATATAGGCACTTTAAAACTGTCTGCTAAGTTTACAAGTGGCAGTTGTCACAAACGGAAATAGATTACAATTAAAAAGCCGACAAGGAGACAAAGAAGGTTGTAGATGAATGTAGGAGAAATGACTGAGGCTAAAAAAATACTTATGAAATATGAAATGAATTTGTGCAAAAACATTAAACACAAAATTAACAATCAGTGCTTCCACACGTAGGCGAATTGCTCTAAAGTTGGGAGAATTAATTATTTGTAGGTGGAAGGGGAAACTTTTTCGGAAAAACTGTTAAATGTTGGGAGATTGTAGAAGAAACAAAATATTTTTAAAGTGATAGCTATACTCTACATGAATATTTAATACATAATTTATTGTTGGCTTAGCCAATGGGAGGAAAGAAGATGTTGATGGGTGTCTGAGTACATAAATAAAGTGACATGTTACCAGAAGGTACACACCATCACGAGGTCTAGCACTGATCAGTTCGCGAGGAAAACGTTGGGAAAATTAACACGAAAAATTCGAAATGAACACACCGCTACTGGCATCGTTCTTGTTGATGTTTTATCCTTTGGTTGTTGATTCAGCAACATCGAAGAATGAATCTTCATCAGGTATAGGGCTGAAACATTTCCATGGAGAAGTTACAAAGTATAAAACTCCACAAAATTTTTGTTCACTTTAAGCATGAATCAGTTTTCACAGATTTTTATACGGAGAAAATAAATTTAGTTATAGAAGTTGTCTTTAGGTTTGGTGTGAATCAATGACTTGTCTTTTAAGAATAATAATGAAATGAGTCATTTGTGTTTCTAAAATCAAAATGTTTGGAAAACTAACACGAACAATTTGAGATGAATACACCGCTACTGGCAACGTTCTTGTTAATATTTTATCCTTTGATTTGTGATTCAGCAACATCGAAAGAAATTAAATGTAGTTATAGAAGTTGTCATTTGTATTTCGCGTGTATCAATGACTTATCTTTTTAGAATAATCATGGAATTAGTCGTTGGTGTTTTGAAAATCAAAATACTTATAGTACTCTTTGTTTTGTCTAGTGGAAAAAACACTCAAAGGTATACTTGACAAAATTTACACACTCGGTCTCGAGGGGGGAAAGGGTAAAGAAATTGTGAAATTCTATACAGAGAACTGTGTATTGATTAATCAAGGTGTTCCGGCAATAAATGGCAAAGCAGGTAAGTGAGGCATTTTTCATTTTAAAAACTTGCCTGCACACTCGCAGATGTTGCAAAAGTTTTATTTTGTATTTTCACGATATCGTTTAGAGTTGTTACATCTCTACCAAACCGTTTTTAATAAAACAACAATTGTTAAAAAGGTTAACGTTTTTATGGACGACGTTTATGACATGGGAGACATTGTTACTCTTAGATACCACGCGACCAACCATTTAGCAGATTGCAGTGTCTTTACGACTACCCGGTGAGAACTTTTAACAGCAAATCTAATTTTTCATTCTTATGATGAACACATTTTAAAGTGAATTTTGACATAACATAAAAAATTTGGCTGTTATCTTATAACCGAGAGCAAAAGCTGACATTTGACCTTTTGCGTTCGTGAAAGAGATATTTTTGGAGATGATTAGATCTTTAAAATGCTAAAACACACAATGGGCAGCCAAATTTAAGCATTTCATTTCTAAATCGATGATGGCAAATAAACTAAATGAATAAATTTCTTGCAGACTAATCATCGTTTGGAAAAAGATCAAGGGCAAATACTTGATTCACAATCAAGTTTCAAATGAGCGAGAGAACCTCTGTCCTAAATGATTGTTAAACTCAGCATTGGAGGAAACAAGACACTACTTTTATTTGTCTTATTAATAAATTTCTAGATAAAATGAGCTTTGAAGACCATAACCGTTGTAGACTTTCAATTTGAATTCTATTTTGAAACATCTTGATTACAAAATGTTCTTGTCTCCGTTTGAATTTTTACGTAGTCATTCATCTGTTACTTAGCAAACGTAGTATCAGTGATAGCTTATTTTAAGGTGCGATCTTTTAGTCAAGTAGCAAATGGTGTTTCCCCCCTCCTTAACTCCACTAGAACTAGGTTTGATTTATATTTCTGTAAATCGTGACTTGTGTTTCAGTACATAAAGCATTTTTCAATTTGCATGTTTGGCTAGAAAATTTTTCTCGAAGTCCTGCTGATAATAAGCAATTATTGGATGAGGTTGAGCATGATATCAAGAATTATTCAGACCAAGGTCAATGTTATCTACCGATGCGAAGCTGAGGCGGATAATACTGACCTTGGCCTGAATAATTCTTGAAATTATGCGGAAAGCGAATTCATTAATTGTTTTATTATTCACTGAAGTATTATCAAAACATATCAATATAAAACATTTTTCAAACCTTTGCTAAGTTGTTTTTGTCAGACAATTTATTCAAATTCGTTTCGTTTAATTATGTTGTAAATATGTTCAAAGCCAGCTTCGCCGCTTTTTTAGTGTTTTCCGCACCCTTTTCGTCTAAAAGATTTCACAATGTTTTTAGAAACTGTGGCAAACATCGCTGATGGTTGATTTGTTTTCAAAACATGCTTTTAATGGCGTGCATAATTTTAGAAATATTATTTGTAGATATGACGTCATAATTGCAGATATCGAGAATTATCTGCAGGTAGTTGACCAATCACAGCCGAGATTGCTTACATATTGAATAATAATAATTATTCACATCTCTGCGCAGACAAATTTCGTATTCATAGTTCAATACGACAGATGAATGTTACATATCAACAAAGGCTAAATTACCACAAAAAGTAAAGTTTTTTTTATAATAACTTTTTGACTTAGGTTCGCTTTAATTTTGCTTCTTTTAATATATGAGCTATAACAAACTTACCGGAATGTTAATAACACTTCGTTGTTCTTTCCATAAGTATGTCCTCGGTATCTTCATATTGCTACATTCCCCTTTTTATCATCTGTTCAACTTTAAAGTCTATGTTGGTGGTGATATTTGCCAATGGTATTCCTTCAATCAAGTGATTATTTTTTAAGTCTCCAGTCTACCATATGTGCGTGCGAGGTTTAGCTTTAATGCATGTAATCAACTTCCAAACAAACAGTCTTTTTTACCTTTCCTGCCTATTGCCTCCGGTGCGCTGGTAGAAACACGCTATCCTTCGCATATACGCTGTTGACAGCTTTCTGAACCTTTCCCGCCAATAACAACTTGAAAAATGATTCAACTTTTTTGCTCAGATAATCCGTCAATTTCTTATGAAAAAGCCAGGCTTGAAACGGAAGGGCTTCAAATTCCCTGAACAAAAGAGCAAACGACTTTGGTTCATTTGTGAAAGATGTAAATTCCTATAACAATTTCTTCCAATTTACCGTTCAAATCATAAGTTCTTGCTTAAGACAAACGTCAATATCTTTTATGCGACTTCTTAGTATACAATGGTATGTATGATATGTGAGCTAACATTCTGGACTAAACTGTTTGTGATAATGTTCAGCTCTTTACCTTTTGAATGTTTACGTCCGGCAGCCGAATCGACGATGGAAGTATAAAATATCAGCATGACTGATGCAAGTAGTGGTAAATACATCTTGAATGTTTTGTGATAGATTTTCAAACGACTGCTTGAGAGATATTAAACCTCGTTTTAGTATGGACCTTGGCATACGACAGACGAGTATGGTTATAAATTATAACGTATGGTCAAGTTAGATTTACATAATGCCACTTATTACCCATGTCTCAAGTAGTTTACACTCGGTAAATTATAAAACATGGAATCTGGAATTTGGAATCTTGTAATCTTGGAACCTTGGAATTCTGGAATCTTGAAATGTTGGAATCTTGGAATCTTTTGATTTTTTGTAATATAACTTGATCGTTCATAAGTTTATATACGCCGAGTTATTGATGGACTAGCACCAGTATTATAACTACCCTAACATTATAATTTTAGTAATGTAATATAATTTCATCGTTTAAATTGTCTGGGCTGATTGCCTGATTATGTATTTCATAAGCATATGGAAATAATATAATTTTGGTAAATTTCTTGTTGTTGAGCATGGGAATATCGTAACATGTTTTGTAAATGTAGCTACATCGTCCAGGTTAGTGTAGTCCTTAAGAAGACTGTTGACTGAAGTTTCAATACTCCCAGTCATCTTTCGAGAAAAGGTCGCTCGATCACTTGTAACTAAATTTGATCAATTATAACAAAAATGATCAAATGAGAAGCTGTTTTCAGTAAATAATTACCTAAATAATGTTCTAGTTTGTTGAATTAGAACAAAAATGATTATTGACAAGCTGTTCTTCTTGTAAAAACTTGCCCAAACGAATAACCTTTTTCATTGCGTGAAACAAACAGTTGTGATGACGGCAAACTCGTCGCGCTTTAGATTCATCCTTTCTACGATATAGTTGATTTTAAATTTTTTATTCATTGTACTTTGAACTAATTATCAGGCAAACGATGCTGCAACTGCAAATTTTTCGAGCAGGCACAACCCTCGACCTTCGGTCTCGGGCTTACACTGATTATTTCTCGAGTTCTCCCAAATATCTCCTCGTTTTCGTAAGCTTGTGTAAACACAGTAAACATTTTTTATTTCTTAAATCTAGCTTCTTTGACATTCCGAAGAAAAGATTGTTGCTACAACTCTCAACAATAAGACAAATTTCGATGTAAGATTAAACTGTTATAACGTAGCCCCAAATGTTTTTCAGTCAATGCATCGACTTTGAAAACGAAAAATCTTCATTTACTTTACATGCTTTTGGCCTCTTTTTTGCCTTTCAAAGTTAACACACAGTCATTAGTGTATATATTTGCCACTTTCTGAGTCTCACTATAGCCATGAAGAATGACCAAGCTTTGTCCATAAAGAATACTCTTCACTGTTTAGACTAGGAAAGCTTCGTCATGAAATGTGGTTTCTTTGGTATCTTTAAAGTTCCCAGCAGCACAAAACATTGATTTTGGTTTTCTAAATATCCAAGCATCCTCCCAAAATAATTTGACATTTACTCAATGTTGATGACCACCAACCTTCTTTTGCTATGTTCTCAGATTGTCGTGTTTCGTTCCTTTTTATGGTTACGTCATGAAAAGGAGTTTCATTATGGGTAATATTCTGCTCTCTCCTGTTTGAATTTTGCAACGCAATGCGTGCCAAAGTCGGATAAATGGTTGAAGAAAAAGCCTTGAATTGTCAATTCGCCAATTTTTTTCATCAGAATAAAAAAATCAATTTTGAATTTAAAAAGTTTGCGCTGATCATGTGGATCATGCGCAAACACTATATTTTTTCCGTTGTCGCCGTAAACTTTTGGTTTTGCTAATCGGGTGAAATTGCGTGAACTTTTCAAAATGGCGTCTTCAGAGAAAGCATGCTTTTGGCAAAATGGACCGATTCCAGGTCAATTCTATGATTTCCCTCGACAGCATTCCTTGGAAACACACGAGTCTACAAAACGAAGCATGTATGTGACCGTCAATCACGCAATTCTTCATATTTTAATCCGTGATAGCTATTTTATTTAACTAATGTTTTCTGATAATATTACTGTCTATTGTCTACTGATAAATTTATTAAGATATTTCGTTGTGAAATTTTAATGTTTATTTTCTAAACAAATTTTACTTTCAAGTGATATCAATTATAATTTTACACTGACGCATAATGCCTTGTTTTTACCTTCTATAAAGTAATAAAATTCTTGTTTCTTGCGTACGTACGTTCAGTTTCTATTGTGGCTAGCTTGTGACGTCACGACTGAACCAAATTACACGAGCATGGCAAAAATGAGAGAAATTTTTTTGCAATTTTGTTTTACCCAAATGTAAAGATCCTTAAAACTCAAGAGTGAAATATATAATATGGGGCTCAGACATTCTGTGATCTGAGGCTGACTTTTTAATTACCTTTCCTTCAATTTCACCTGGACCAGACATTTTTCATTTTCTCTCAGTTTATGGACCGACATTTTATATATATTTTACAAATGATGTAGAGTGCCGCCTTACTTAAACGAAAGCCATTTTTCTTCATTAGGTATCCAGTTACTCAGGGAACATCAGTTCTTGGGATTTGCTTCAATGGAGGAGTTGCTTTAGCAGCAGACACCTTAGGTGAGCTGTCTTCCAGTGTAATTGAATTGCTAAGAATGAAGCTTATTTGCATTTCTTCATTTTAGGCTCCTATGGCTCATTGGCACGCTTCAGACAACTCTCACGTCTTATGAAGGTGAACAAGAACACTGTAATTGGTGGCTCGGGTGACATTGCTGACTTTCAGTACATCCAAGAAACAGTGAAACAAAAAGTGTCAGTATAATTGAAGATGATTCGTTTTACAGGCAGCAATTTAGTTTAAAATAAATTTTAATTTGTTTTTAGTATTGATGATGCATGCTATGACGATGGTCATGGCTTAACGCCAGCAGCAATTTTTTCATGGTTGACAAGACTTTTGTATTACAGGTTTGGTGCAGCATTTTCAATGAAGATTAATTACTACATCTCTTTTAAAAATATATGTGTTAAAAACATCTCTATAGACAGCATCTCTATAGACAACATCTCTATAGACAACATTTCTATAGACAACATCTCTATAGACAACATCTCTATAGACAACATCTCTATAGACAACATCTCTATAGACAACATTTCTATAGACAACATCTCTATAGACAACATCTATATAGACAACATCTCTATAGACAACATCTCTATAGACAACACCTCTGTTGACAACATCTCTGTTGACAACATCTCTATAGACAACATTTCTATAGACAACATCTCTATAGAAAACATCTCTATAGACAACATCTCTATAGACAACATCTCTATAGACAACATCTCTATAGATAACATATCTATAGATAACATCTCTATAGAAAACATCTCTATAGATAACATCTCTATAGATAACATCTCTATAGATAACATCTCTATAGATAACATCTCTATAGAAACATCTCTATAGACAACATCTCTATAGACAACATCTCTATAGAAAACATCTCTATAGACAACATCTCTATAGACAACATCTCTATAGAAACATCTCTATAGACAACATCTCTATAGACAACATCTCTATAGATAACATCTCTATAGATAACATCTCTATAGATAACATCTCTATAGATAACATCTCTATAGATAACATCTCTATAGATAACGTCTCTATAGAAAACATCTTTATAGACAACATCATCTTTATAGACAACATCTCTATAGACAACATCTCTATAGACAACATCTCTATAGACAACATCTCTATAGACAACATCTCTATAGATAACATCTCTATAGATAACATCTCTATAGATAACATCTCTATAGACAACATCTCTATAGACAACATCTCTATAGACAACATCTCTATAGACAACATCTCTATAGACAACATCTCTATAGACAACATCTCTATAGACAACATCTCTGTAGACAACATCTCTATTGACAACATCTCTATAGACAACATCTCTATAGACAACATCTCTATAGAAAACATCTCTATAGACAACATCTCTATAGACAACATCTCTATAGACAACATCTCTATAGACAACATCTCTGTTGACAACATCTCTATTGACAACATCTCTATAGACAACATCTCTATAGACAACACCTCTATAGACAACATCTCTATAGACAACACCTCTATAGACAACATCTCTATAGACAACACCTCTATAGACAACATCTCTATTGAATACATCTCCAACGACAACATTGCTAGCAACAACTTCCGTATTGACAGCAACTCTTTAGATAACATTTCTGTTGACAACATTTTGATAGACTGTCATACGTTTCTACTAGCAATATCTCTAGTGACTAGTGGTACAACCAATCAACATGTTGGATCATTTCCATTGACATCGGTAACATATCTGTTAACAACATCTCTGCAACAATTTTTCAGACGCACCAAAATCCACTTTGGAATCAGTTAGTTGTGGCGGTTATCACAACGGAAAAGGTGAGTCAAGAAACTCCATGGGAAAAGTTTAATGGGAATGTTTTACGATGTATATTTGCTTAAATGAAATAAATATGGCATTGTTGTGTTCTATTTTATCTTTAGTTTGCTTGGTTACATTGATCGTCTTGGTGTTGCATTTGAAGGTCCAAGTATTGCTACTGGTTATGGTGCTTACATAGCCCAGGTATGTATGTTGTATCTTAGCAAAAGTTAATGGTGACTTTTTATGACTACGTACAGTGGTACTTTTACTTGACCAAATAATTCTTTCATTGCCTGTGCTCTTGAAAGTCAAAGCAGCTAAAAAAGGTTATCACTGCTTGAACATAGCATTTATGATATGTACACTGTATAATTTTTTGCAAATTTATGTATGTTATCGAAAGTTTGTATTGGACATTTAATAAGATAGAAAAGATTTAAATGTAAATTGATCTTTTTGGGTTGCCATTTTTTATCCATTGATATGGTGAAACCAAGTAATAAGTGCCTTGTAGTAACCTAGAATTACCTATGGCTGTGAATGATTTTATGATAAATGTCTTGTAGTAACCAAGAATTACCTATGGCTCTGAATGATTTTATGATAAGTGACTTGTAGTAACCAAGAATTACCTATGGCTCTGAATAATTTTATAATAAGTGCCTTGTAGTAACCTAGAATTACCTATGGCTGTGAATGATTTTATGATAAGTGTCTTGTAGTAACCAAGAATTACCTATGGCTCTGAATGATTTTATGATAAGTGACTTGTAGTAACCAAGAATTACCTATGGCTCTGAATAATTTTATAATAAGTGCCTTGTAGTAACCTAGAATTACCTATGGCTGTGAATGATTTTATGATAAGTGTCTTGTAGTAACCAAGAATTACCTATGGCTCTGAATGATTTTATGATAAGTGACTTGTAGTAACCAAGAATTACCTATGGCTCTGAATAATTTTATAATAAGTGCCTTGTAGTAACCAAGAATTACGTACCCTCAGCTATGAATAATTTTATGATAAGTGCCTTATATTAAACAGGAATCTGCCATGCCTTTAAATGATGTTATGATGTACATAGTGTGCACAGTTGTAATGTATTTTATATGTTTTAAGCCAATGCTACGTGATGCTATCGAAAAAAATCCAAATATGACTGCAGAAGATGCTAAAAACTTGTTGACCAGATGTTTACAAGTTCTATATTATAGAGATGCCAGATCTCTTGACAAGGTATTCTTTCCATTTATATATTTAATGGGATGAATTTGTTTTTAGAAAATAGAGAAGCTTCTTCCATGATTCTGTGTAGTCCTTCGACTGGCTTTTTTATTCAGCTACCTATAACTTATATGACTAATGGCAATGCCGTAGGATCTTAGCTGCAGGGTTTCATGAATTGTAAAATATTTTTATTTTAATCCTTCACTGACTTATGTATGCAACATATGAATTGGACAATAATCAATCAAGTGATTGTTTTATTTCATTGTTTCAGTATGAACTGGCCATTGTTAAAGATGGAGAAGAACCAATCATATCAGATGTTAAGACACTAGAAACAAACTGGGAGATAGCTCATTATGTGAAGTATGTTTGTAGAAATGAGATAATCTAATGAAAACTTACATTTCTATAAACAATATCTTTATACATAACATCTCTTTGGACAATGAACATCTCATAGACAATAGAGATTCCTGATAACATCTCTTCAGATATAATCACTTTAGAAAACATTTGTTTTTGCCAACAATTCTATTGACAATCTCTAAATAGACAACATCTCTATTGCCATTTAAGAGGTCTAGACAACATCTCTATTGGCACATTTCTATTGACAAAATCTCTATTAATGACATAACTACTAACATAATCTCTATTACTTCTCTATAGACAACATCTCAAAAAACAACATCTCTATAGACAACATCTCTATAGACAACATCTCTATAGACAACATCTCTATAGACAACATCTCTATTGACAACATCTCTATAGACAACATCTGTATAGACAACATCTCTATAGATAACATCTCAAAAAACAACATCTCTATAGACAACATCTCTATAGACAACATCTCTATAGACAACATCTCTATAGACAACATCTCAAAACAACATCTCTATAGACAACATCTCTATAGACAACATCTCTATAGACAACATCTCTATAGACAACATCTCTATAGACAACATCTCTATTGACAACATCTCTATAGACAACATCTCTATAGACAACAACATCTCTATAGACAACATCTCTATAGACAACATCTCTATAGACAACATCTCTATAGACAACATCTCAAAACAACATCTCTATAGACAACATCTCTATAGACAACATCTCTATAGACAACATCTCTATAGACAACATCTCTATAGACAACATCTCTATAGACAACATCTGTATAGACAACATCTCTATAGATAACATCTCTATAGACAACATCTCTATAGACAACATCTCTATTGACAACATCTCCATTGACAACATCTCTATTGACAATCATACTACATACTTATGCAGATAAAATTAGAAAGTTTTATAACGGATGAGTCCTAACTTGACAATGACTCGTCAATTGCTAATTGGCAAAAGTTATGCGACTGTGTGATAATTTTATCGTTCAATTTTAGGGGCTATGAATGAATTCAGCAAATTTTGGAACAAGGACGTTTTTTTGCTACAATTTTCTCATTAACAAAGTCTGTTTCTAACCCTATTACCGTACATATAAATACTTCGAAAGGCCGAGAATTGTTTCTTCAGAATCTTTCAAAATTTAACTATGGTCATTTTCTAGCAATTATTAAAAACAAAGAGTCTTGTGTGCGGTATTCTTGCTTGGTTTTATTGCGTGGGTTGTTATTCACAAACGTTCTTTGTCAGAAACAAGGAGTAGGGAAATTTTTTAAACGTTTTGTTGATATTGGCTGATATTTGCTTATATTGGCTGATATTTCCCTCGAAAACTTTATGCGGTAAATGACATTATCTTCTCGTTTGCAGCTGTTTTTGTTGATGTATGGAAATGCAAAAATCAGAAAAATTTTCATTTCATTTAATGGAAATTGATTTTGAAAGTCACAAGTGCGCGGAGCGTTCAAAGCATGCCAAGTCATAGTTAGGGGGCTCTTTACAATTCAAATTGCGCATTTTTTGCATTTCAAATTTTTGTCATTCATTCGAAATGTGTTGAATTCGTGAGTGAAAATTATTCAAACAATGAAATACTTATGTAAATGTTGTTTACGATGACGCATATTATCCGCATAACATCCATCGATAGTCTAGCTTTCGTGCTTTCTAATCTCCTATGTTGACTAGTTTCTTCGGTGTATCTTGTGTGTTTGTGTGTGTGAACATTTGATTTTGATCTTTTGACATGAAGGCATCTCGTGTTCAAAGATGCTCGCTCGGCTTTTTCGCCATTTTTTGTATTCTGCTCGGCGCTGGTATCATTTCTTGTGGCCTTATATTCCAGTATCATGAAGATTACGACAGTGACATTGTAAATGGAATGGGTGAAGCGGGAGGCTATGAGTATTACTACACACAATATTGGCTTGGAATACCGGTAGACCAATTTAAAATGTTTTACTTCTAGCTATTCTATATATTTTTCCTTGATTGATGTAAATGTACTCTAGTACGTTAGTTCTTTGTTGTCCCTGCAATCGTACTTAAGTTCTCTTGGTTGATATTTCCCGTTGAGATTTTTTCTTTTCCGCTGCTCTGCTTTATCGCACGAGCGTATTTTAGCTTAGTTTTGTTCTAGTACAAAGACTGTTGTCACCCTATGTTCATTTATCATTACCTAGGTACATTGACACTCGTAATCTTTGTTGATATTTTTAATACTTTAATGTAGAGACTTTATTCGTTCACCGTTTTTGTCTCCTTTATTTATCATTACTTACAGTCTTAACAAACATTTTTCTAGCTTACATCTAAACGTAGTGTGTCATTCCCTTTTTATGTTGTTTATTCATCACTACCTACACTGACACACGTCGTCTTAGTTTATATTTTAGACAGTGTAAAGACTGTTCTTGTTCTCTGTTCTTCATTCATCACAACCTACACTGACACACGTTATCTTAGTTTATAGTTTGGATAGTGTAAAGACTGTTCTCATTCTCTGTTGTTCATTCATCACTACCTACACTGGCACACGATATCTTAGTTTATATTTTAGACAGTGTAAAGAATGTTCTCGTTCTCTGTTCTTCATTCATCACCACCTACACTGACACACGATATCTTAGTTTATATTTTAGACAGTGTAAAGAATGTTCTCGTTCTCTGTTCTTCATTCATCACTACCTACACTGACACACGTCGTCTTAGTTTATATTTTAGACAGTGTAAAGACTGTTCTTGTTCTCTGTTCTTCATTCATCACAACCTACACTGACACACGATATCTTAGTTTATAGTTTGGATAGTGTAAAGACTGTTCTCATTCTCTGTTGTTCATTCATCACTACCTACACTGGCACACGATATCTTAGTTTATATTTTAGATAGTGTAAAGAATGTTCTCATTCTCTGTTCTTCATTCATCATTATGTACACTGACACTCGATATCGTAGTTAAATTTTAAGTAGTGTAAATACTTTCCTCGTTCTCTGTTCATTTATCACTACATACCCTGACACACGTTATCTTAGTTTATATTTTTTACAGTGTAAAGACTGTTTTCATTCTGTTGTTCATTTATCACAACATACACGTTAACTTAGTCTACATTTTTAATCAAAACTGTTATTGATTATAAATAATAACCTGCAATGCTCATGTTTCTGTTCAATTTACATTTACAGATGCTAATCCTGGGTGTGGTTATTTTCTTATTTTTTTGCTTGGAAGTAAAATGCATGGTAAGTTTTCATAAGCGCATTCTTAAAAAGTTAAAAATGAGCGAAAATTGCATATTTTTTGTCCTTTACACTTTTAGCTTTACTTCTATATGATATTTGCATCTCTGACCCTCGCTCTGGCAATAACCAGTGTTGTACTCGAAGGTCCAAAATGGCGAAAATGGTTAAGCCTTCAGCAACTAGTCGATGATAAAAACGGCGACGACATTAATGGTGTATGCCAAACAGGTTAGAAATTTGTCTTAGAGGTTGTCTGGGGGATGTGGAAGGGTAGACAGAGTAATTGTATACATATAAAAAGAAAGATATTTCGAAAATGGACATTGTGAAAATCAGCAACGATGACAAATACACAAAAGTACTCGAGAATGTATGTGTTGAGTGTGACTCACCAACATGGCTGCTTGTGTAGTTCTGTTGAAGATGGTTTGGATTTGAATTAAATTATAGATTTTTCAGTAACATTTTGTTCGTTTGTTTGTATCATCTATTAGCGTAATTTCGGAATGTCTTCGTTTTCGATTATGTTGGACTTCTCAGCGTGGTATATTTGTGCTTGTATCTAGAATAATGCGATTTTAAATCTGTGTTTCTGTATTATGTCATATTTTTGAAGCAGTATTATAACACTAAAACGTTAGGCTATATGTCACAACGGTGATTTTATTTAAAAGGGGGGAGCGGTTATTAATCCACCATGCGTGAATTCAATCTTCATACTTGTTTTACTACTAAGGGGAGCGGTTATTAATCCACCATGCGTGAATTCAATCTTCATACTTGTTTTACTACTAAGGGGAGCGGTTATTAATCCACCATGCGTGAATTCAATCTTCATACTTGTTTTACTACTAAGGGGAGAGCGGTTATTAATCCACCATGCGTGAATTCAATCTTCATACTTGTTTTACTACTAAGGGGAGAGCGGTTATTAATCCACCATGCGTGAATTCAATCTTCATACTTGTTTTACTACTAAGGAGCGGTTATTAATCCACCATGCGTGAATTCAATCTTCATACTTGTTTTACTACTAGGGGAGAGCGGTTATTAATACACCATGCGTGAATTCAATCTTCATACTTGTTTTACTACTAAAAGCTTATTAATCCACCATGTGAATTCAATCTTCATACTTGTTTTACTACTAAGGAGAGCGGTTATTAATCCACCATGCGTGAATTCAATCTTCATACTTGTTTTACTACTAAGGGAGAGAGCGGTTATTAATCCACCATGCGTGAATTCAATCTTCAAACTTGTTTTACTACTAAGGGAGAGCGGTTATTAATCCACCATGCGTGAATTCAATCTTCATACTTGTTTTACTACTAAGGGGGCGGTTATTAATCCACCATGTGTGAATTCAATCTTCATACTTGTTTTACTACTAAGGAGAGTGGTTATTAATCCACCATGCGTGAATTCAATCTTCATACTTGTTTTACTACTAAGGGGAGAGCGGTTATTAATCCACCATGCGTGAATTCAATCTTCATACTTGTTTTACTACTAAGGAGAGCGGTTATTAATCCACCATGGTGAATTCAATCTTCATACTTGTTTTACTACCTGAAGTAAAATACGTCATACTAAATTATCAATTATTCATTGTTCATTTTTACTTCCACGTTATCGGAAAACATACATAAAACTTGAAACTATTGCTTATAGGTTCAAGCAAGTCTAACTCAACTCGTTTATCGTGCAAGGAGATCCTACACGCCACCGCTATGCAAAGTATCGTAGTTGGTTTTTCTATCTTGTCGATCATTGCGAGTCAGTTTATCGCCTTTATATCAATACACATCTTGGCGCAAAGTTCTCAGGTATGGCACATTAAATTTATAGAGCTTAGAATAGAGCTTACGTAGAATAGAGCTACGTAGAATAGAGCTTACGTAGAACAGAGAGCTACGCAGAACAGAGCTTACGCAGAATAGAGCCACGCAGAATAGAGCCACGCAGAACAGAGCCACGTAGAATAGAGCCACGCAGAATAGAGCCACGCAGAACAGAGCTTACGCAGAACAGAGCCACGCAGAATGAGCTTACGCAGAACAGAGCCACGCAGAAGAGCCACGCAGAATAGAGCCACGCAGAACAGAGCCACGCAGAACAGAGCCACGCAGAACAGAGCCACGCAGAACAGAGCCACGCAGAACAGAGCCACGCAGAACAGAGCTAAGAACAGAGCCACGCAGAACAGAGCCACGCAGAACAGAGCCACGCAGAACAGAGCCACGCAGAACAGAGCCACGCAGAAGAGACCTTACGCAGAACAGAGCCACGCAGAATCAGAGCCACGCAGAACAGAGCCACGCAGAACAGAGCCACGCAGAACAGAGCCACGCAGAACAGAGCACGCAGAACAGAGCCACGCAGAACAGAGCTTACGCAGAACAGAGCACGCAGAACAGAGCCACGCAGAACAGAGCCACGCAGAACAGAGCCACGCAGAACAGAGCCACGCAGAACAGAGCTTACGCAGAATAGAGCCACGAACAGACAGAAGCTTCACGCAGAACAGAGCCACGCAGAACAGAGCCACGCAGAACAGAGCACGCAGAACAGAGCCACGCAGAACAGAGCCACGCAGAACAGAGCACGCAGAACAGAGCCACGCAGAAAGAGCCACGCAGAACAGAGCCACGCAGAATAGAGCCACGCAGAACAGAGCCACGCAGAAGAGCCACGTAGAACAGAGCTTACGCAGAACAGAGCCACGCAGAATAGAGCTTACGTAGAATAGAGCTTACGTAGAATAGAGCTTACGTAGACTAGAGCTTACGTAGAGTAGAGCCTACGTAGAATAGAGCTTACGTAGAATAGAGCTTACGTAAAATGGAGCTTACGTAGAACAGAGCTTACGTAGAATAAAGCTTACGTAGAATAGAGCTTACGTAGAAACATCTAGAAACTACTTTTATTATTTGTTACAATGTGTTAATGATTGTATTGCAGTTTACTATAGTATTATTGAATGTAATATTTCATACTTTTTTCGTTACTTTTCCCTAACTATGTTCACAGTGTATAGCGCTTGTTAAAAGATCCTACGTACGTCGAAAACGTTAATTTTTGTGGGTCACACGTGAGTCACGTGACGTGACGTAGCACATTTGCTTTAGTTTCTCTGGGAATGACCGTGAAAAACACAAAATTATTTGTTTTCAGATAAAGTTTTACCCTAACACACAAAAATAGATGTATACTTTATTAAAGTAAAATGGTTTGAACCCGGGAGTATCGTTACATGTTTGTAAATGTAGATCGTCCAGGTTGGTATAGTCCTGAGAAGGACTGTTTTTGTTGTTGTTGACTGACGTTTCGACAACCTTAGCGGTAGTCATCTTCAGAGTCAAAACTTAGACTACCGCTAAGGTTGTCGAAACGTCAGTCAACAACAACAAAACAGTCCTTCTCAGGACTATACCAACCTGGACAATCTACATTTACAAACATACTTTATTAAAGGTCGTGTTATTGTCGACAGTTAGTAAATGCGTAAAATGTGTAAAAAATGTGTTAGCAAGTGCCTAAAAAGTTTAGGTTGTGAAAACCTTTCGTACAAGTTTGATTCCTGTAAACTTACTATCTTATCATGCCTTTGATGAAATTCACGCTTTCAATTTTTCAGCAAAGTTACAACATTGACAAGAGAGGCCTTGAAAATAATGGATACAATAGTCAAGTATCGCAATTCAACGTAGTGACGTCAATGTAACGTCATAGTGACGTCATGACGCAGGTATTGTGAACCCAGGGAGACGTATTTTGTATATCAATATGGAGGATTGTCTATAAAAGTTTTTTTACTCTTATTTACTCGATAAAAACTATATATTTGCAACCACGAATGTAGGGAAAGTCAAACTAAATACAACAGCTCAATATTGGTGATATTTATGGTTGAAAATACTTAAAAAAGCATTTCTATTCGAATATTTTATTCTTTACGAAAGTCACAGTCTGTAGTATTGCTGTAAAAGTAATTTTACTTTAACATTGAGCTGCTGTAATTTACCTTTTGACGAACGCTGGATTCATCACTTTTAAGACCAGTATCATTCATCGACACGCTACAGAAAGACACATATCATGTTTATAAAAAAAACATTTATATTTATGCTATGCTATTATTTATATGTATATTCATGTCGATCTTTATAAAAAATATATTACTGTCTGTTTTAGCATGTGTAAATTGATTAAATTTTCCCAAATATTAAACATCACAACAGATATGTCATGCCTCAATGTCATGTGTTTACAACGAGAGCGAATTTTCACGTTCATCGTGGCCTTGTCAGGCTAATCTCACTCATCCAACCTTCTTTTACAGTTACATAACTAGTTCCATGCAAAATATCTTTTAAACCAAATGGTTTGAACCCGGGAGTATCGTTGCATGAAGAGTATCGTTACTTTGACTCTGAAGATGACTACCGCTAAGTTTGTCAAAACGTCAGTCAACAACAACAAAAACAGTCCTTCTCAGGACTATACCAACCTGGACGATCTACATTTAAAAACATCTTTTTTGTTAACTGTATCATGGTAACCTGACTCTTTCAATTCTCCTTCACAGAATTACTTTTATTATGATAACTATAAGTCTAACCTCAATTTTTCAATCCTTTTTCATAACTATTTATAAAATAACTGTATCATGTTAACCTCATTCCACGAATCTTCTTTCACGTCATCCAACAAAATAGAAATGACGTGATATCAAAAAGATGCGTAAGTTGTGGTTAAGTTCCAACATTGTTGTTTGTTTTGATGTTTACACGTCATTTTCCAGATCTGTAGCAACTGGACAATGAAAAATAACAAAGAGGACTTTAAAGATTTGACGTTGCGTAAGTGTAGTTAAGTAATATGAGTAAGAGTCGTTCTTGTTATATTAAGTGCTACTAAATGACTCAATGATCCATCATCGTTTTTTCTTCGTTGACATCAAACTATTAAACGAATTGTAAACATTCAAATTTTCTCTTCAACATCATCTTGGACCACGGTCAGGTCAGGTGCAACAAACACAATTGTCGTCTACGCGTTGTGTTTTAGGTTTAGACCAACCGGAGTTCTTAGTGTTGCTGGAAGAGCTCTTTTCATGAAAAACGTCTTGAACTATAAAGATGTGGTAAGTACCACTGGCTCAGGTAGGTTTGGTAAAAGCTTTCCTGCTTTTGTACGCGTTTCATGTTTCTTTATACCAGCCTACCGTAGGTAGTAACTGGGATGCATGGATTAGAGCATTTTCATGCTCAGACAACGCATCCATTATATCGACAAATCTTCATGTATCATGTGATTAAATAACCATTAAAATAACACCAGGCTTCTGGAGGGTATCTGTCTAATCTATCATTGCCACTTATTGCCTCCAGTATGACGTCGATGGATAGGAAGATTTTTAGGATTACTTTATGTAAAGCTGAATATAAAGCCCATAACTCTGAATTCAAGATGGCGAGTTTGACTCATGCTCAAAGGGTGACTCGACTTTACAGACGTTCAATGAAACATCTTTTATCGTGGTGTGTTGAGCGAGAGATTTGGAGGAAAGAAGCTTTGAAACTGAGAGCTGAATTTGATCACTACAAATACGAAACAGATCGCAACAAGATCACCACATTGCTTGAAGAAGGCGAAGAAAGATATCGCCGACAATCTCATCCGGATCCTTACATTAGTAAGTACTCTTTGATGTATTCACGTAAAGTTTTATCCAAAAATTGTCTTGCCGTAAATTTGCTGCTTTTGTTGTGTATAGTTCTTATAATGACTCTTGCCTAAAATAACTTCAAAGTACAGAGATAGACTTAAAATTATTAATTGTGAACCAGTTATTGTGAACCCGTGCTGGCCCTACACCTATCCTCCTCGCCGAGACATTTAACACTAATCAAATGCTGCATAATTCCCTCCATTTCAAAACAATTGTTATAACTCTGAATGTGGAAAAATTCCTGGTCAAATTTCCTGCATTCTAAAAGGAACTGTGAACTGTTTTTCTTGTCGAATTGCTGCGAATCCTGGCATAAGGCCCTTCCATGTCCCAGCTGGGGTGGTGGGTTGTGGGTTTCACTGAGGGAGTATTAGTAATGGTCTGAATGGGTGATTTTGACAGCTTTTCACTAATAACTTATTTGTGAAGATTGGTACCATATATGGAAACTAATTTCCACCAACAGAGATTTTGTTTCCAAGTAAAGTTTTTTGGTGGGCGAAGGCAAAGATTGTGGAAAGTCCCCATTTGATAAAATTTTAATCATTTTACAATACATGTTTATAGATGTAGAATGTCCAGGTTAGTAGAGTCTTGAGTTGGACAGTCAACACCAACACCAACTGTTCTTCTCAGGAGTCTACTAACCTGGACAATCTACATCTACAAACATGTAACAATATTCCCAGGTTCAAACCAAACAATGTCATGATGTCATTATTATAAATGTAACAATGTCATTACATTAAAAGAATGATATAGTTGAGAAGTTTGAGTAAGATGTAATTTTTAATTTTTACAAGTCACTGAGAGAAGAATATTTCATTTTAGATCCTAATGCACCGGATGGTGGAAAGTGGGAGAGAAATATGCCTCCTCCACTGCATGTAAGTTCATAGTTTTGTTCACCATGTCGAGTCAATTTTCAACTGGTAACTATTGTCTCTAGTTAGTAACTACAACCATGGTTATTTCAGGCTGATAACCCCAACCATGGTTATTTCAGGCGGATAACCACAACCATGGTTATTTCAGGCTGATAACCCCAACCATGGTTATTTCAGGCTGATAACCACAACCATGGTTATTTCAGGCTGATAACCCCAACCATGGTTATTTCAGGCTGATAACCCCAACCATGGTTATTTCAGGCTGATAACCCCAACCATGGTTATTTCAGGCTGATAACCACAACCATGGTTATTTCAGGCTGATAACCCAACCATGGTTATTTCAGGCTGATAACCACAACCATGGTTATCTCAGGAAGATAACCACAACCATGGTTATCTCAGGAAGATAACCACAACCATGGTTGTCTCAGGCTGATAACCACGACCATGGTCTTCTCAGGCTGATAACCACAACCATGGTTATCTCAGGCTGATAACCACGACCATGGTTGTCTCAGGCTGATAACAACAACCATGGTTATTTCAGGAAGATAACCACAACCTTGATTATGTATTACATCAACGTAACCAATTGAAATCTTCCCACCATGTAGAAATGTCAATTTTTTTAAATTTTGGTTAGTTTCTAGGATTTTTTGCATATTATGTTCATCATGTTCATTATGTTCTTGATGTCTTTTTAGAGTTTGATCATGACACCTAATGAAGAGGAGTGGTTTGAAGCTGTCAAGAAATGGGCAAATTAATCCCAAGCCAAAATGTTGTTTTTGTTGTATTAGAACTTGTGGTATAATTCTTAAAAAAAGATTTTTTATGAATGAGTTTGTCGACTAGTTCAGTTTCAGTGAAAAGTTTGATGACTTGTATATATGTACTGCACAATATACCCTCAATAAACCAAAACAGAGAAATATTATTTGATAGTAAGTTTGGGGTAAAACTAAATTTTGCACAACCAATTGTACCCTTTGCGGAATCTTATTCTAATAAAGAATTTCACAAGGAGCTTTTCATGGAGAAAATTTCTTGGCCGTGACCAATGTCCGAGTACCATATTGATATTACTGTTGTAATTGCGTCATATTTTGTATCTTAGCCACAGAATATGGAATATACAGAAGAGTCATTCATGTCGGAACCTTCGATGTTTTTGTCCTCGCGCATGTCGTCAGCTACATGAATATAATACCTATCTTTGTTACAAGCACAAATAGGTTTTCTGCTCTTGGGAATTTGACCTGGGGCAGGTTGCGCGAATCCTGGATAGCGTTATCCATTGGATAGCAAGTTTTTTGAACTTCTATAAAACATTTTGAAAACCAAAAAATACAAGATCCGAACTGAACAATCACTGAAATAAAATACAGTTTCGAAGATTACGAAATTTCTTTGTCATAAGAAAAATATAAACACCTTTTTCTAACCAATGGATAACGTTATCTAGCCAACCGGCCCCTGATTTCTAACGATAAAATATGTCTAGAATATATCCATTGTAGGGGCTTAATAACTTTGTTTTAGCAGAACAAGTTCATTTCATAGCTAATTTATGCCACAATGGCCGTCATTTACTAGTAATGTATAGTTGACAAAAAAATAACAAGATTTTAATCAGGAGAGTCCCTAGAACGTTAACTGTATTTGTGTGTTAGGAAGGATGTTATCCAATATTCATATATTCATTTGTGCCGGAGTGATTTAGAGTGATTTCTTTAAAAAGTCCATAAAATGACCTTGGTCGGTCATGACTTTAACTACAAACATCGCGACAAGAATTGCCCCCTTCCTTTTTGCTTTCCTTCTTCAATGCTAGACCATGAGTCGGTCTAAAGCTTATTAGTTCAAATATATTAACTTTATTCACGGTTCAACACACTATGATTGGATATTCTTCCGAAAGGAATAACCAATGGTATTCGAGAATTTGATCATGTGTCAAACCGAGGGAAGAACTAAATTTGGAGAAGGACGCAAGTTGCCTTCAACGCTTCGTGCTCAAATTACAAGAATTTCCAAGACTTTTGATGCTTTAAAAGTCTTATTAGCCGTGAAACGTAGCAGAGGACAATTTGTACATGTTTGGTAAGTAAATGCATAACACTAAAGCTGTTTACTCGTTTGCGAGCATGTAAAAACAAAGTCGGGATATTTGTCGTTTCTCGCGTTTTTCGTTTTACAGAATTTGTCATATTTCGTGAAATGTTTTTAATTAGGCCAATGTTTAGTATCGAAGGCGGCAAAATAGGTCCTTTTGAGAACGTCAATGTGTATTTTCTACCACTTAACCAAGTGTATACGTTTGGACGTCACAGAGTTCATATATTTAGCGAAAATCTTGTTGTTGCATCAAATGTTCGCCATGTCGGCAAATGCTACGAGTTTTGTCCAACATTCAACCTCTTATTTCTAAACGTGGAATGTAGTTTCTTTGTCGCAATAAATGCTATTGAAAGAGCTTGGATGTTTTAGAAAGAATATGAATATCCTCTTCGCGTTTTATGACCAAGGTTCAAATGGAAGCCATTATAAGGTTATGTTAATGGCGGCGAATAAAGTGTTAAAATTTAATGAGCAAATTTCTGTATAAGTTTTAGTATTCTTTCTCATTAAAATTTGTTGCCAATCCATACTGCATACCAGCACTGTGTGATTAATTTTTTATTTTCTTGACCAGTCAATCATTCAGTAGCTAAGTGTCAAAGTTGTCGTAGCTTTAATAGCGTTTGTGTAAGGAGAAAAAGGGTGGGAAAATCACCATTTGAAAAAGTGTTGTTATTGAGAGTGGTGTTTATTGAGAAACTGAAGGATTCCCCTGAAAATTAGCTGTCAAGTTCATATAATCTTGACTCATTATAAGTTAATATCAGTGAATGCGTATTTTGTTAATTAAAAACTGAGGGACGTTTTTTGTCTGCAATAAGAAGATAACGCTAAAATAATTTCATTTTCCCAACAAAAGTATGGCAAGAAAAGTTATAGTCTTTCTTCCCTATCGTCCAATATCAGTTTGATTTAAACGGTTCCGAGTTTAATAGCATGCTGACTCTAATAGCATGAAATTAAGTTGACATTCTTTGAGTTTCATATTGAAAGGTGGTTAATGCCATTGATAAGTCAGGCTAATTGAAGATTATTGATTGCGCATGCACCCCCCTTAAATATATCCACAAGGTTCATTTTCGATCAGTTCAACAGTAAAAAGTAGCTATTAAACGATAATTGAAAATTGTGTGGTTAACTAAATCAATAAAAACTTTCCCCATGTTTTGAACTGAATCACGTGTTTTTTTCTCTGCAGTCACGTTTATTGCACATGTACTCAGATAAGCTTAGCAAAGTGTAATTGTAGCATAAAAAATAATTAGAGAGCTTTAGTAAAACTACGACAACGAGTATGAAGTTTGGCCATGTAAGAAAATAGCACGAGAAAGTTCGTTGTCGTTGTGACTTTGTGAAAATTTTGATTGAGCGGTCTTTTTTACTGTGAAATACACTGAATTTTGCTGAGCAGCTGCAGCTCTATTTGTCAATAATAATATCAACGAATCTGTAATACTGATTTTGCGAGAATATATATATAGGACTTTTAGCTTGAAAAATCTTCACTATTTTACATTTTATGACGATTTATCTTATTTTATTTTTTGTTTACGCGTCACTTTGCGAACAAGAATAGAAGTTTTGCAGGTCATATTTGTAAACAGTAAACAGATTTTTTGATTTTTGTGCAATGTTTGTCACGCACATGATTTGGTCTTGAAGTGACTTCCACATATGTTTGGTCTTGAAGTTCGTATATTTTGACAAGGTAGGCAACTCTCAACACAAAATTACTGCCGTTAACTCAAGCACTTCCACAAAACTGCGAGTATCTCATAAGTAACTAGAAAAACACGAAAAACAAATACATCTCATTAATAGCGAATAATTTTACAATATTTTTGCAATTTTTTTAACATTCAAATGTTTTCTATGCATATGAAAAATGCGAATGTTTTTAGGGTTTGTGGCAAAACCTGTCTTTTGGTCACACTTACTTATCTAAATATTCGTCATATTTTTGAATGCTCAAACGCATCGCGAGTTGGCTGAATTTATGGGAAAACAATAGAAAAAATTGTAGCCAATCTGAAGTCATGCAAAAACAGTTGTAGCCAATCTGCGATGCGCTTGAGCATTCAAAAATCTGACGAATGTTTAGATAACTGACCAAACGATAGGTTTTGCAAAATATTTGCCACAAACCTTAAAAACATTCGGATTTTTTATATGCATAGAAATACATTTGAATGTTAAAAAAGCTTCAAAAACATTGTAAAATTATTTGTTATTAATGAGCTGTATTTGTTTTTGTGTTATGTCATTTAATTATAAGATATTTAAGCTTTTGTGAAAGTGTTTGTGTAGACAATCGGTAATTTTGTGTTAAGAGTTGCCAACCTTGTCAAAATATCGATGACCTTTAAGACCAAACATATGTGGAAGTCACGCGAAATCATGTGCGTGACAAACATTGCAAACGTTTAAACGTTTCTATGGTAACTGTCCATCTTATATTATTGATATTCTACCAACAAATGCCAGTCGCCACAATAGAAATACTCGTTATAAAGACTTAACTATTTGTTTACCCAAAACGAAGAGACAAAATGATGGTGGGCGATCTTTTGCTGCTACTGCAAGTCGCTTTTGGAACAGTCTACCTCTTACTATGCGTAAACTTTCATCAGCTACACTTTTTAAAAAGAAACTTTATGATAAAGCTAATTCAGATATGCTCATAGAATAATTTATTATTTAGTTTTTTAGTATTTTTAGTCTTGTGTAATTCTGGTTTTCAAATTGTAATTTATCTCGTAGTTTGTTAGTTTGAGGGCCACAAGTTTTTCACACTTGTTGTGTCACGTGTTACCCTCTTTTTAATAAAGTTTAATCAATCAATCAATCAACCCTTAAAATCACACATACGTGTAACTCACGCGAGATGCAATGCACATAAATTAAAAAATCTATTTACTATTTACATGAATCGATTGAATAGAAGACTCAAACAGATTTCTGGGCTGCCTATGTGGGCTTGTGGCAAATGTTTTTCAAAGCATATGCTTGGTTTTGACATTCGTCATAACTTTAAATGCTCGCACGCATCGCAGATTGAACAATGTTTAGATAAGTGACCAAAGCATAGGTTTTAAAAAATATTTGCCACAAACCCTAAAAACACTAGCATTTTTCATATGCATAGAAATACATTTGAATGTTAAATAACTGCAAATTCATTTTTCGTGTTTTTGTCATTTATTTATGAGATATTTACGGTTTTGTGAAAGTGTTAGAGTAAACAGTCGGTAAATTTGTATTGAGAACTTGAGAGTTGCCAACCTGATCAGATCAAAATATAAAAAACATACGTGAAGTCACGTGAGATCCCGTTTGCTCCCCCGTGGAAGTCACGTGAGACCCCGCTTGCTCCCCCGTGGAAGTTACGTGAGATCCCGCTTGCTCCCCCGTGGAAGTTACATGAGATCCCGCTTTCTCCCCCGTGGAAGTCACGTGAGATTGCTCATAAATCAAAAAATGTATTTACTTTTTACATAAATCGATATCGTAAAAAACCTAAACAGGTTTCTGGCTACCCATGTTTTAAATGAACAACTGCGCTCAAAAACGTTTCGTAGTAAACCTGGATAGTACTACTGTACTCTAATTTTCTTACACATTGAAAAATTATACCTACTTTCTTTACTTATTGTAGTCGCGACTACGATTAAATAACATCTTACTCAGATGGATGACGGCTATGTATTTTCTCTCTAAATTGACGCACTTCACTGTACCAGTAGAATTCGTAGTCTCTGCTTAACACCTAATTTCTGTTACCGACATTATAGTTTCATTTTCCCAAGAACATTAATG